CTGGATTGAAAGATGCATTTTTCGCAATCGACAGGTAAATTGAAGTGTTTATAGATCACAATGATTTTAGTCGTACCCACCTACTACACGGACTGATAAAAATGTAAATGATAATTATTAGTCGCGGTCCGAGAATGAAGAAACCTACGGGGGATTCTTATCTCCGTGAACATAGGCGATGTGAACTTGGGCCAAACTACGCCTCTTGTTGCTGTTATATCCCCAAATCCGGATGTAAGACGCACGCAGACACACTGTAAAGATAAGTATGAAAATAAATCACTTTTCCTCCTGAAAATATTATCAAACAAAAGTTAACAAACCAATAGTATTGTTTATTTTAGGGCCCAAAATTTTTTGTTACACTCAGTTCAGTTCCCACGATCGATTCTACACATTCAAACTATTTAAAGTGAAATGATCTTCGAAAGATTGGATTTCAAACCCGGTGTATGCAATATCACGTCAATCCTCAGTTCGAAACATTTTAATCATTAGAGAAAAACTTTCACGAAGGCAGAAATAATCAGGAGTAAAATGGTCCAGCCATGAACTCCGAAGGGACCTTGTATTAGTTGATATCTGTAAGTACCCGATCACTCTCCTGAGAAAATGGTTATTGCTCCTGGTAATCAACTTTGTCAAACTTCTGAATTACATGTTAATTTAGCTTGATCAAACTAAATTACTCCTTGTCCGTACTTTTTAGTCACATCCTATTGCTTGATCCAAGTTGTCCTGAAGAACTAAAGCACGCTTCCTTGCTGTTTGTATGAGGCAACCATGAATGCACACCGGTTCAATTCAGGTTTCAAAAATCATCTGCGTTATTTTGTGCTACAAATCAAACCTCTAGATCCAACTAGAATTTATTCAAATGATCGATTCATTCGTCTCATTCCGAAATCGCCTGAAAACAAAACAAAATTACCTGTTCACCGGTCAAATTTCCTGTCATTATTGGATTGGCATTAATGGCGATCTTAACAAAATACTATACGTACTATAATTTTTGCATGTATACCATGAATTTTGCCGACTCATTCATATACTACTTACTATGAAATACTTTGTATAAGTATATTGTCAGTCCTCGGTTCACACACATTCTGCAACCCTTGCCAAATCTTGACATGGTTCATGCCACCCTGTCAAGTCCAACACTGTTTTGTCCATCTGGGTTCAACGAGCTGAGGCTAATGACAGTAGTGGTGGTGGTGTTCTTCAGGACTCATCGGTTAGGTCCCTCTCGCTCTCTGTATGTGTGCACGACCCTGNATCAAGATTGTGTGTCCTGAAGTTGTTCAGAGGACGGGCAAACAGACACAAACCACAACCTTCTCTTCCTGTCTAAGCAGCACTGAGCACTACAAGAAAAACGGAAACAGAGGCAGCAGTTTGATCAATTAGAGTCTATGAAGGGGCTAATCACATACATACACAGACGAACGGTTCCACAAGACAGCTCAGATGATCAACCTAGGGAGCGAGTCAATTCAGAGATCCCAATTTCTTCAGCTGTGTTTCGTAAGCGCACACCTACAATCCCACGGGAGAACGAACAAGGAGTGCGGATCAATATTATTTAAGAAATGTTGGGTTGGCTTGAACTTTGTTGTTGTTGTCCTTGTTGTTGTTATTGTTGTTGTTGTGATAGAATAAGCACACATAGTTCACATTCCATGGTGTCAGCGGCATGGCACTTCGCGGATTAGATTAGGTTTAGGGCCGACGTCCATTCTCCTTTCGCCCTGTCTCTGTTCTCACCCCAAATCACTCTCACTCACTAGCCAGCTCCCTCCTGCCCCCCCCCCGACCCCACACTCGTTTGATTGTTCGCTCTCTGAGCAAGCGCACACAGGGTGCGATCAATGCGTGCGAGCAACTTCGCAATCAATCCCCGTTGCTTGCAACACTTCGGTTCGCTTAGTTGAAGCAAATCGTATGTTTGCATGACTGCACTGATTTGCATGGTCGACACAAGGAAGTGGGGAGGCTCTCTGTTTGAGGTTGGGGAGGCGGGGATATAAGTTCATTGCCTGTACACACGGTACGGTAGAAATGCGTGCATTTGGTGTACGCGACCTGTTGATGCCCGTTTGCCCATAGGGATAGGAGTGTTGACGACAATCACGACGAGAAAACCGATGCGTGCGAAAAATTCCGAAGGAAATTTGACCCGGTCTGATGATTAGGCAAAAAAATGCGTGCATAAATTGATAGATATTTTCTTCAACTTGCTCCAATCTGGTAAGTAGAAGATAACCAGTGAGCATATAGGACTGTTTTAATTGAGGGATAATTTCATTTCTACCTCTATAAATCTATGAAAAACGTCTGCTAGTTGACGTTGTTCATGAGCGCATTCAATACCTACTCATCGACGAAGTTCGCAGTCAGTTTTCGGAAAAGCTTGCCTATTGCGTAATTAGAGGTATGAAACTGAGACAATCAAGTCTAGTCTGTTTTGAAGATGTTTTTAGTTCAGAGGGAGGAGTGGATGATCTAATTCGGTCACGTGATGAATTTTACCGTACACAGAGGAAGCAAAACACTAATTTATTTGTCTTCGATATTGAGTCAGATCAGATTTTCGGAAGCATCTTTCGGGATAGATGAAAGATATGTCAAACTTGTCGTTCTAGATCCATCGCCCGGCTAATGGAGCGTAGTTTGTACATGAGTGTAGGCAACCGCTATTCGCGGGTTCGAAACTCATTGGGGAAACTGATTCGCAGAACGAATCTAATGAGTTCAAACTGCTATCTGATGGGTTGAAAATCATGAAAATGTGTACACAAACTCACTGTACATGAAAGTCGATTATGTTTGGAATCTATTCAAACTCATACACATATAATGGTCGACTTGAAATCGGTTAAGCTAATCTTGTCGCCAAAGCAGCCTTTTGGGATAACTTTATAATTTGGTTTAGCCATATCAAATTATGATACAATTCAACGTAGTCTCTCTATCTATTTGGCATTGGTCTGGTTGTAACCAGAACAATTTGAGTGCGCGCTACCTTGGTTACCAAGGTGAATTTGTCTTAAACCGTTTTTCAGCAAGGACTCGCAGACAGAATAGAGCAGGCTGAACAGCCAACAACCGTAATATTCACCACAGTTGACAGTCACGGTCGCTTTGTGACTGACACGTATCCCATGGGTCATCTGTACCATTTGCGTAACATTTCATCCATCTCACTCGATGATCTGGATAGTAATTATGTTTAGGTAACCACATCGATCGACTACGACCAAAGAAGTGCTAAACATTGCGGAATATGTGTACATCGTACGGGAAATGTTTGTTCGAACTGTCAGATAAAGTTGTTGAGGACAAGTTAGTATCTTGCAGGACAACGATCCTCATCTTTTCCAAAGTACGTGCCTTGTAATCTTGTGGTTGATAAACTAATTTCTGCTATTATTTATTCTTTATAAAACTTTAGATTTCCTCCTAGAGTTGGCAGAATTAATTTTTTGTAGTTGACATTTACCAACATAATTCGAACTTTATACTGGCTACTGTTTCACTCCGGAGGCCAAATTCGTACGGGTAAGGGCGAACCGTTTTTACGCAAACATAGATCTCACACATGGTGAATTTTATGCAAAGAAGGATAAAAGAAATAGAATGAAAACCGATCGATTATTGATGGAACTATGGTTTTAAATGGGCTTTTGTAAAAACATCTTTTAAAAGTAACCAAAAAATTGCATTCTATTATTCAACAGCTGAATATCAAATAAGTGATTTTTTTCAGTTGAGTGCCTACGAGGAAAACCTCAATTTCACATATATAGGTATTTCAAGGAGGTAATATCATTACGCGCATCATATGTTTTCCCCAGTATGTTCTGTTAAATTTGTTGAAAACAATTACAACAGTAATGTTTTACTTCCCTTTATATTTTATTCTTTATGTAAATGAATGTCGAGTCAACGTTCAAGAAAGGGGCTGCAGTCATTTAAGGCTGTTGTAAGAAATAAGGAAATGGGAATGATACAGCATGACGAGTTTTTTCGAATGGGTCTGCATATCCCGGCACCACCAACGAGCATTACTCAACACTCCTAGGTGTAAAGAATAAAACTATCCCGGTGTGAATTATTGATTTTCGGGATCCCCCAAACCCATCGCTTTTCTTTCAAAAGTTCTTTGTTTGACGGAAAGATGTTTTTAGTATATTTTATGGTTCTTAGGAAAAGGTGCGGTCCTATTTTATCACCCACAAATGAACAATTACCGAGAGTTTTCTATTGCTTGATAAATCTGAAAGGCACAAATGAATTTGACTTGATTCGGCGACCTTTTACGAGAATAATCACCACATAGGAATTATCAGCAAACTGGTGCACATTTATCCAGACTGGGTTGGGTTCGCACAGACGGAATAAAACCAATTCTAAATTACTAAATCAGTTAAAATACACAGAACGAATGAGATCATCCTGATTGGAGTTAGTGTGTGAAAAATTCCGGTTGAAATGAAATCACTTTTGACGTCTTCCACTCAATACTGTCGAGGGTGCATAAGTTGTCCATTGTAGG